GGAGAATGTGACGCCTACGTTCGTCGAGAATTGTCTTACACTTCGCAACCAAGTGCTGATCGTGAAAAACGTGAGCGACATCTGCTTCCGCTTCGATCAGCTGGGCAACGATAGCCCCATGGACAGCGTGCTAAAGTACAAGGAGGTCGGCAGCCAATGCGACAAGAAGAGTACGCTCATGATTTGGGCCTACGAGATGCTGTGGGACCACTGGCATTGCACTGACGGCAAGGAGGCGATCCCACTGCGTTTGCTCGAGGGCAAGGTCCAGGGCTGGGGCAACAAGTCCATCATCGATCTCTTCGTCTTCAAGCGTGCGCTGCGCGACTCCCTGTGGAGGCGCCTTGAACAATTTAACTGGGATACCGATGTGAAGACCGCCTTCAAACAGTTCACCGAGTCGGTCGTGACATGCAGGAAGAGGTTCGGTGTCATTCAGAAGCCCAAGAGGGATCTCGACGGGGTGGCCACGGACCGCACCCTGCCCCACTCCTGGCCGCCCAGCGCCGGCCAACTGCTCCTCATGATGGAAACCCTTGTCTACGGCTACGAGTACGACGTGGCGATGATCAAGACCATGGCCAATAAGAGGACTCGCGATGACTTCCTGGAGACCGCGGACGTTTCCCACATGATGTCAGAGCTGATGAAGACGTACGATGATCAGAAGAAGGCTGCCGGCATCGTCGACGACGCCGAAGCCGATCCAACTGCAGCCGAGGAGGAGCAGGCGGCGCAGAACCTCAAGTTGGCCTTCATCGCGAACCAGTCGCAGGTAGAGACCTTGATATGCGATGCCGACAACGGCGTGGTCACCATGGAGAGCGCCGACGTCGCCAAGGCCAAGTCGCACGCCCAACTGGCACAGCGTCGGATGCGGTCCAACGTGAAGCTCGTGGCCGCCACGTCCCAAGAAGAGATTGCGCAGTCGATCAAGGCGTTCGAGGCGGGCCAGGCCATGGGCAAGGGCAAGTCTTACGTAGCCATCGTGATCGACGCCAAGACTTTGTGCGAGAGCGGGACGCAGGGTAAATACCGATTGGGGCCCAGCCGTCCGCACCACTTGAGCAAGCTTCTCGGCGCGGTGGTAAATGCGCGGGCGACGGGTGAGAAAACTCCAAGTCTACCAGCCAACGATATCATCGTCGCCCCCGATGGGTCCAAAGGCCAGGACTGGGAGGATAAGATTGTCAAAGCTCTGAGCCCCATGAAGCTCGAGGTGACCAAGCGTTATGCGATGTTCTCCCAGGAGTCGCTCGAGAAGCGTCTCAATCGGATGCACGGCAACCACACGCTGGAGCAGATGGAGACGGTCCTCCTGCTGTCGTCGGAGATGCCCATCTTCAAGATCGGGCCGCGCAAGCTGAGCCCGAAGGCGACCACGCGGGGCAACGTCATCGGCCCTCTGGATGTGGCAGACTGGAGCGACAAGGACCGATGCCTCCTACATAGGGTCCGCGTAAACGGGGTGGACGATCGCGCCGCATCGCCGATGCATCGGTGATGTGACTTAGTGGGGCTTGATCCTCACGGCGCCGACGTTGTCGATGCATCGGCGAAGCAGGCATCGGCGATGTATCGCGATCCTCTGACCCCCTCCATTCGGACTCCATTTGGGACGCCTCCAAAGGACGCTACGTGGACAGTGCCCTGGTCTGACAAGAAAGCGATGCACAGCACTGAGAACCTGCCGCTGCCGGGTGGGAATTGCGGCGTCGAGCACAAGAAGGACAAGGCCACGAAGGCGTCCGACCTCGTGCCCGCCTTCTGGCACGAAGGGCCTCCAGCTCTGGCCACGGAGGTGGCCCACCTGCTCCAGGCCACATCGATCATCGATCTCACCCCGGGCTCAGGACATTGGGCAATGTACGCAGTGCGCAAGCAGATACCTTACCTTGGCGTGTGCTTCACTGACGCCCACGTCGAGTTGCTCTATTCCAAGCTGCGCAGCAGGATCCTCTCGGCGGCCATGGGCGCGAACGACCTCGACCTCTACGACGTGAACCTCTCGTCCCTAGTGACGTCCACTCGGAAGGACGCTACGACGCCCACCAAGGACTCCAGCGGATCTCAATCTGCTGGCTGCGTCACTCCGGTGGCTGGTGGGAGCACCCCCATCGGCGGCAGCACTCCGGCGGCGGCTGTTGTCAAGGGCGCGGCGGACCGGCAGTCCTTGCTCGATCGGATCAACGCGATGAAGCAGCAGTCCACTGCTGCGGCTGGCCAGGACATCGATGATGAGGAGTGATCGAGTCTCAGAAGCAGCCCTGCAGTAGTAGCGCCGCAGCCCACGGCACTCAGGATGAATCCAGGCGGTCAGGCGGCATGACATCGTCGAGGGAGGGGGCACTCGACAGTAGTCTACAGTAGGCGGGGATGAGTGCAATGACGACAGTTGAAGCTGCATTGCCATTTGTCGCCCGGCGGCGGCCCACTTTGCGTGCTGGACCGTTTCCCGCCGGGCGCTGAGCGTACTAAATCCTCCTCTGACCTCGTCCTCGCCCTCCTCAATGAGATTCCCCCGTGCCTCGATTGCCCGGCGTTGAGGCACACCCACCATCCTCGTCCTGTTCCTCCTCCTCCTCCTCCTCCTCCTCCTCCTCCTCGTCGCCATCCGTCTTATCCTCGAGATCCTCCCCTTTCTCATCAATCTCCCCCTCCTTGTCCTCCTCGCTCCCTTCGTCCCCCTCGCCCTGATTCGCCTCTTATGTCCATGGCATGCCCCTGCGCACGGTGCCAATGGGTTCGACGCTGGTCAGAGCATGGCACGCCGGGGCAAACGTGTCCAGAAGGGGTTTCCACCGCCATCATCCGCATCCACAGCCTCGACATCCTCGGCATTACCAGGGTCGCCAACATCGTAATCATCCATCAACGTTGCATCATCAAAGTCGTTCAGCATCATCAGAATCGTCATCATCTCAGACATGTCTAGGTTTTCGGGCCCGAAACGCAGACAACGACAGGCAGACTCAGACAAACTCGTAGAGCAGACAAACTCCATGGCTCCTGGGGCCCCTGGAGCACTTTGGGCCTCTGGAGCCTCAAAGCCCCTGGAGCCGCCAGCCCCTAGACTGAACCCGCAGGCGTTGGGGGGCCATGGGTGCACCAGAGCTCTTGGAGCCCAAGTCACATGCGCATGGAGCCTCTGCAACCTCAGAAGCCCTTGAACCCCCCGACCCCTAGACTGAACCCCATAGCCCTTGGGAGGCCATGGGCGCGCCAGAGCCCCGAGCCCCTAGCCCCTGCATGTGCTGCGCTATGCTATGCTATGCTATTGTTGGCAATCATGTGCATACGCATGTTAGCGGGCACACACGTTTGAACGTGGTGTGTATACACATATATATATATATACATATATATATATATGCACACACGCATAAATATATATATATATATATATATATATATATGAATATATATATATATATATATATATACATATATATGCATATATATATATGCATATACATATATATACTGTTTTACGGAGGCGTACGTCCACGCCAGTGGTCAAGTTAGCCCGACACGTGACCTTACTTTCAGGACCTTGCACACCGCCCCCCCAGCACACTGGCCGAAGGTTCCACTGCGCCCACAGCCCGCGGGGCCGCTCGGGACCCACAAACGCGGGCCCGAATCACGGAGGGACAGGCCAGCACCGACACACGGTGCACCTCCGACAGGACGGGCAGCCAAGGGACCTCCCGAGGTCCCGAGGCACCCATCCCGTGGGAGGCCGACCACAAGTCCCACACAGACACCCTCGGCCACGCGCTGGAACGTGCGGCACCAGAAAGGCACACCCTGAAGGTCACCAGCTAACTCCCCTTGGGCTTAGGGCACCAACCTGGAGTAGCTGGGGGCATCTATACAGCACAGTCTCTGCGTGCAGGGGCCGCAACGCGGCCTTGGATACAGGGAGGTAGCGGGTGGGAGCCTTGGAAAGAGGCTACGGAAGGAGACGGCGTTCCACGATGCCCCCAAACAGTATTGCCTTACACAAGCGTAAACGGTCATACTGTTTTACGGAGGCGTACGTCCACGCCAGTGGTCAAGTTAGCCCGACACGTGACCTTTACTTTCAGGACCTTGCACACCGCCCCCCCAGCACACTGGCCGAAGGTTCCACTGCGCCCACAGCCCGCGGGGCCGCTCGGGACCTACAAACGCGGGCCCGAATCACGGAGGGACAGGCCAGCACCGACACACGGTGCACCTCCGAACAGGACGGGCAGCCAAGGGACCTCCCGAGGTCCCGAGGCACCCATCCCGTGGGAGGCCGACCACAAGTCCCACACAGACACCCTCGGCCACGCGCTGGAACGTGCGGCACCAGAAAGGCACACCCTGAAGGTCACCAGCTAACTCCCCACGTCTCCAACCTTGGCGCCCACGCCGTCAAAGAGAAACTATTCCAAAAAACTCTGCACCCGTGAGGCTAACTTCCAGTCACCGCCTAGACTTAGGCATGGAAAGTCAGCGAAGCTGAGAGATATGTACACACACTCAGCAATGGGCACAAAGAGGGACGGCTGGATAGGGCATAGAAGCTGCACATTCAACTCTCACAATTTGACGAATTCACGCAGAATCTGAAGGCAGCACTGAACAGTCGAACATTGTTTATGCTGCGACTTGACCTTCACAAGGTCGGCAACTGCACTTCAATATAAATACTCGCCGTCAAAGTGCTGACCCAGCGACCAACCGAGGCTTCGGCCAAGCGCTGCAAGCTTGCCCTGAGCCGGCTTGGCGACCACGGCAAGAGCCTGTCTGAAGGCGCGAGATGGGCCACAACCAGTCGCAGCAGCCGCACACAGGCCTTAGACCGCACAGCCACGGGCTTGCTGCATCCTTGCCCGCCGTGGTCTTGCTGCTGCCAGTGCGGATGACCCTACACGATGCACGATCATGAACCTCGCCTGCGGTGAGGCTGCAGGCTTCTCCTCCCCGCAGCATCGCTTCAAAGCTGACGAGAAGAAAGGCAGGCGAAATCACAAGGCGCCTGCTGCGATGGCGTAGGTCGCCATGCCGCCGACCAGCTCTGCAGTCAGCGGGAGGACGCGCGCCGCAGACTCCTGGCGGCGCCACGCCCGCAGGAGTGACCAGGACAGGTCGAGCTTCCTGCGCAAAGACGGGCAGAAAAAATATATATGGCCACGCCCGCAACAAAGTTGCTTGCAGCTGCAATGCCAGCGCCCTCAGCCCGAAGCCTCTCGAGGAAGCTAGCGACCAAGCTGTCCGCGTCGTCCATGGCCACCGCCAGCGCAGTCGTGCCACTCTCCTCAGCGCCGTAGTACTGCAAGAGCCTGCCGACCGCAACGGCATATCGCCTGCGGGTCGCCACCCCCACGCGGAGCGACGAGGGGGTGTGGGCTCGCGGGTCACGCCGCCTCACGGGCGGCCTGCACGGGCGGCCTTGCGCACCAAGAAACGCGCAAGTGCCGCGCCCCCTGAGTCGCGAGCCACGCCTCAGCTTTCTCGATGGCTTGTCGGCTGGATTGCTCTTGGACACGATGTAGCCGATCAGCGGGTACATGTCAGCCGCGGCCGCGGCTGCTGCCCAGCGTTGGGGCATCGGCTGCAAGCGAGCGCTGCTGCTCCGGCCCTTCGTGATGATGGCCGCGACGACCCGCTGTGCACAAGGTGGAGCCAGCGGCTGCAGTGGCGGCGAGCGGCGCAAGCCCGCCATCGGAGGGCCGCAAGCGCGGCCAGCAGCTCCCTGACATTGATGTGCGCCCGCCGCCTCCTGGGCGAAGTCATACTCAGCACGACTCGTCACTCCACACGAACGGGTCGAGCAACGATCTGGGCCACCCCCTTCGGTCGGTACGGCAGGTACACGTCGAGACGCACATGGCGCCCGCCCTCCTCGGACCTGGCGAGGTAGCTCAGGAGCAGGAGGCGGCTGGCCTCGACCTCCGGCTCCCCTGCGTCGCTCTCGAAGCAGCCCGTCTCGTTCCCCAACGGCGTGCATTCGCCGACGTGTCCCAGCTCCTGCATGGACAGCGGGCGCGCCACAGCCCCCAGGCTCAGCAAGAACCGACTGCAGCAGCCAGGCGACCAAGAACACGTTGAAGCTGTTGCCCAGCAGGAAGGACCTGGCGTCGGCGCTATCCTGCTGGTTCGAGCCCTCCGTGGCTACCGCCGTGTAAAGCACGTCGCATCCCATCATCCTCTCCTGCACGGAGCTTGAAGGGACCCGCGCAGACCCGCCGCTGTCCTGCAAGAGGTTTCTCTCTTCGTAGAGCACAGCACGGTAGCGATACGAATCCAACTGCCAGCGAGCGAGTGCCTCGGCCAAAGCACTCTTGAACCTTCGCGGCGCTGAAGGGTAGCCTCCTTGGGGGCTGCCGCATACGGGGGTCGAGTACGGCCCAGGCTCGCCGATCCAGCGCGCCCCAGGATCCCCCCAATCCAAATTCAACAGGGGGGGCTCACTGCAGCTGACCACGAACGTGTCCTCACACTCCTGGAAAACCAGCGGCAAGATGGGGCGGGCGCCCCAGCTCAGCCAATACAGCTGCGGCCTCCTGCAGGGCACCAAATCCGAGGCACACAGGAACACAAGCTTAGCGCCGAGGGCCTGGCTCATGCCACGCAGGCTGCTGGTCACCGTGCCCGCGACGTTCTCCACGAACCACCTGAAGCGCGTCCCGAAAGCGTCTGACAGCAGCCCGAAGATGCGCGGCACCTCGAAGGAGACCGAGGACTCGGGGTCGCCCAGGCCTCGCCCAGCAGCGCCCAGCCCCGTGAGCCCCTGGCACGGGCTGCCTGCGCCCACGACCACCAGGTCGACTTCGGACTGGTCGGCTATCCTCAAAACCTCCACCGTCTGGGCGGTCACGGTCCTGACGTCGCTTCCGTCAATGGCGCCTGGCCACCTGAGCCGTACGACCCTCCCGGCCTTGGCGTCCGTCTCGGCGTTCACGTACGCGACGATGCGCACAAGGGGGCGCGAGAGCGCGACCGCCAGCCCGCAGATGCCGTCGAACAGCCCGATGCAGAGGGCCCTCAACGAAGCAGCGGCGAGCGGGATCACGAGGAGCGTCGCCATCAGCTCCTCCCTCATCTCACGCGTCAGGTAGACCTTTGTCCGCGGCTCTGAAAGCCTCCCCACTGCGCTCAAAAAACTGAGCAAGGGCCGTCGAAACTCGAAGGCCCTGACAAGGCGGCCGAGCACAGTCACGCCCAGCCCGCACGGGACCAAGGCCAGGCCGAGCGTCGCGATGGCGAGACCGTAGGCGGACGACGCCTTGCTGAGGGGGGCCGCGATCCGCCCCGTGACTCCGTCAACAGAAGCCCCCATCCTTTCAACGCGCAGCTGGCAGAGGCGCGCCTGGTCGAGGGAGATCGCCACCTGCACCCGGCCGTAGCTGGCACGGGCCGCAGCCTGCAACTCTGCCTGGCAGCCAAGCAGCACCAGCGCCGCGGCCTCGTCAATGGTCTTGGGGGCGTCGAAGTCGTCGATGTATACCTGACACCAAGATGCAAGGACGGGGCCCTGCTCAGCTAAAGCGAGCGGCCGCACCGTGTCCTTCCGCGACTCTGCCCCTGGTGGTAGACCCGCCCCCAGCGGCGGCGGGAGCCGACACAGCCGCCGAAGCATGTGCTGGAACAGCGGCACGGCGAGCGTCCAACCCATCGAGATGACAGCTGAGACCTCCAGGACCCGCGTCGCCGCGCAACCAGACAGGTCGCCACGCAGCGCCTTGCCCACCGCCACGTGAGCATGCCAGCAGCGCGGGATCCGCCACACAAAGAAGGCCCCCTTCTGGTCATCGCCAATCCACGGGAACAGGGAGCCCTTGGGCAGATGAAGGGTCGTCCCCCCCGTCGACGCCGCCAGTGTAGACGCCCCTCCGACAAACGGCGTGAGGAGCGAGTTGCCTGGGACCATGTCGAGGCTGAGCCTGGTGACCCGCCCAGCCCTCGGCCCAGGCGCTCCTTTCTTCTCGACTGCGAAGAGGCCGTTGAGGAGCGGAGCGCCCCGCACCTGGAACACCTCATGCGGCTCGAGCTCCGTAAAGATGCCCAACTTCACCAAGTGCACTACGAGGGCCTCCCAGTCGTTGCCAGAGATGACGTTGACCCGCGCCCTCGGGAGCGGGTTGGGCCACTCAGCCCTGGGCTTCAGCGCCACCGTGGGGTCGTTCAGCCAGGCGTCGATGTCCGCATCCACGAACTCGCATGCGTCCAAGGCGCCTGCGTGCACCGGCTGCAGCAGGCCTGGCTTCAGCTCCGCGAGCACGCACGAAAGTGCCTTGACCGTGGGCTCCTCGCTGTAGTCGATGACCGCGTGCTGGAGGGCGGACGACAGCGCGGGCACCTTCACGTTCGCGAAGGGGTCCTCCGCAAAGACCTCGGCCCGCGGCAGGAGGTGGGCCATGGCCTGCCGCTGCGCCAGCGTGAGGGACCCCTCGTGCTGCCAAGTGGCGGTCGCCCGCCCACAGTGCGTGCGATTCAGGCCGAGCACCTCCATGTAAAGCCAGCGCTCCACCATGACGGACGTGGCCACTCGTGCGAAATGGCACCTGCCGTTGCGAGGGCCGCATCGGCTGCGAATCCATCGCCTCGCCAGGGAGGGAGAGGGCAGGGGCAGCGGGAGGACGTCACGTCCCCCGCACTCCGCTCCCCCGCCTTGTGGACGTACGCTTCGTGAACTCCCCAGCGAGGCGCCCAGACCCCCAGGGTCCGTGATGGTAAGGCCCAGCAGCGTGACGGACAAGTCCACGGCAGCGAGGCTCGACCCCCCGCCGACCGTGAGCACGCGCAGCCAGTCCTGGAAGCCCGATGCGGTGAGCGAATCCTGGCATGGAAAGGGGCCTGGAGGGGCCTCGGCGGCGCCGAGCAGGCCATCGGCCGCAGCGCTGCCCCCAGAGGCGCCCGCGCAGGCCAGGCCCCCCCCAAGAGCGCTCGCGGCGGGCGGCGTCATGGCCCCTACCGCAGCGTCGGCACGCGGCTCCTGAGACAGGCATCGTACGCCTTGACCGTCTCCCCAGGCTTCTTCGGGTACTTCGCCTTGGCGCCCTTCCAAGGCCGCGACAGCACGACCAAGCGGGCTGGGGCTGCCGCCCTGTCGGCCATCATGCGGTCGGCCCCCGCGGAGCCTGCGGCCGCTGGCTGCCTCTGCGCCTCGGCCTGCGCTGCAGCAGGGGGAATCCCCCCTGCATGGCCAGCAGGGCGAGGGGGCAACGCCGAACCCACCTCGCCCCGGCCGGCCTGCTAGCCCTGGGGCTTCTGACGCAGCCTCGAGGCAAGCTCCTCCAGCTTGAGCTCCCCGTGTTGGATGCTCCTGATCATCTCCTCCTCCTCGTTGCACAGCGCGAGAGGCTGGCCCCGCGGCGGTATCAGCTCGAGCCATTTCGCCGCCGACCAGCCCCCGTCCCCGACAGCCACCTGGATGGCCTTGAAGCGCTGGGCGAGGATGTCGGCGACCGCGGCCGTGCGCCCCCTCAACAACAGGTCCAGCCCCTCCGCGATCGTTCGCAGCTCGCGGTAGATCTCGACCCCTATCTCCGTGACAGGGTGCTGCGGCAGGTAGACTGAGAGGAGGAACCGAAGAATGACGGGGGCCGTGCGGATCGACGAACCCGCCGCCGTCCTGAGATCCTAGAAACTCTGCCATCTGTCCCAGACTCAGCTCCGCAAGCCTGCCTGGATGCTCGAGTGCCAATCTCCTGCAGTGGGCCCGTCGAGACGCGAGGCCCTTCGGTAGGAAGTCGCCCTCGGCAGTGGCGACACCACCGTCGCCGCCGAAGGACGGGTCGTAGGACGACCTGGACGCGCTCTGCAGCGCGTCGAGGAGGGCCGTCAGCAGCTCCTGCACGTCAGCTCCGCCCTGTCCAGCCGCGGGGGCGGCCGCCTCTGCGCCCCTGGCGCCCTCGGCCGAGGCGACTGCCCCGATCTTCGCCGCCTTCTGCACGCGCTCCTCCAAGACCTCGGCGAGCGACCGCTGCTGCTGCGGTCTGCCCTGCCGCGGGACCTTCGCGGGCGGCTCGCCGTCCAGAGCAGCGACCGCCTCCGCAGCTCCCGCCGTGGCCCGTCGCTGCTGCTGAAGCCGCGCGAAGCGATCCTGCGCTGCCTCCAGCTTCCCGCGGAGGCGGGCGCGGCGGCTGCTCCCCTCCGCCTCGACAAAGTCGCCACTCGAAAGCTCGTCCAGCCCTGGCTGCTCCGACGCGGCCGGCCTCCTGGCTGGCGCCTGCGCCGGCACCCCGCCAGCGAGCCGCGGTCCGAAGAGGTCGGAGGGCCAGACCGCGTCCGGGTTGTCCGGGAGGAGCGACGCAAAGACCTCCCGCAGCTCGGTGACCGAGACGGGGGGCGCATCTGTGATGTGCACCAGCTCTGAGCAGCCCCAAGGGGGCTGGATCTGGCACGGCTGCATCGGACACGCATGGACAAGGGGCCGCGCAGTCACAGCACCCCCCTCGCCTGGGTTGCAGCCCACCAGTCCCAGTACGGGTCGCTCGAGAAGAGGAACCTCGGCCTCGCGTACGTCTCGTCTCCGACGGAGACGCGAAGGGCGACCCCCGCGAAGCGGCACTGGACGTCGCCCTGGGCGTTGTAGCCAGTCGACGTGTACGCCTGACCTGCGACGAGCCTCAGATCTTCGGCGGGCCCAGGAGGCAACCCTCCGCCGTCCTCGCCCAGCTCGTCGCCCGATGGGGGGTACAGCTGCGCGCTCCCGTCCGACTCCTCGTCCTGATCTCCGGCCATCAGAGGGCACTCGCGCTCGCAGCGCCGTCTCTCTCTCGGGAGTCCCTTCCCCCGACCTGGGGCGGACCGGGTCGGAGCCGGAGGAAGCAAACGAGGACCTCGGGCGAGCACCAAAGCAGTGAGGTGCCGGCTCGCCCGAGGCCCCTCAAACCCTGCAAGCCTTGGAAAGAGGCTACGGAAGGAGACGGCGTTCCACGATGCCCCCAAACAGTATTGCCTTACACAAGCGTAAACGGTCATATATACATACTTGCGTATACGTGCATATGTACAAGGACACGAACGATCATGTGACAAACACTACCACGTAAAAAAACGACAGGCCATTTCGGGGACCAACGGGGGCCCCCTACGTGCACTCTCCCACAATCCCTTCGGTCGCTGAGCTGGGCTAACGCTGACCTGCGCTGCGCCCGAGTCCCCGATGCCCCCCTTGACCCATTAGGGCCCATCAGGGCCCATCAGGGCCCATTAGAGCCCATCAGTGCCCATTAGTGCCCATGTGCACCAAACGCGCCCTAAGACTCATGCGGTTTTCAACGTGCCATAAGACTCAGACTGGCGCCGTGTCACCCGAACCGAAAAGTGCGATGTCCATGATTAAATTGCGGGCATCATGGTAGCCCTGGCCGTGAAATACACTAAATTAGTGAACTTCCACTTGCCAAATGTAACCACCCGCTCGATCGACCATCAAAGTGGCGATCCGCAGACATTAATCCAGGAAGGCGTCGGTCATGTAGACTAGCCTCTGCGATGACAGCGCTGCCTTGTAAACAACTACTGGACCGGTGCCTGCCTCGACGCGGTCGCTCACGCACCTCCTTGACCACGAAAACCAATGACCCCGCAGCGGTGGACTGAATGAAGGTGGACTCGCGGGCCTTGGCCGCGACGGCATAGATCTTGCAATCGGTGATCAACCCAGCGGCTGCTCGACGCCGTTTGGCGGCGCGCACCACGCACTGCTTCTCACTTCGGTCTTTCCCCTGCTCGAGCTCCTCCACCGAGGCGTTTTCAAGAGCCCCGAGTCTGCCTGCCCAGGCCTCCTCTCGCCGAGCGCGTTCCACTACTCGCAAAGTCCCTACTCGCAAACGTCAGAAAAAAAAAAAAAAAAAAAAAAAAAAAAAAAAAAAAAAAAAAAAAAAAAAAAAAAAAAAAAAAAAAAAAAAAAAAAAAAAAAAAAAAAAAAAAAATGTATGCGTGTGTCATAACATGTCGTAAATCCCCCGCGGCGGATCTTGGCCGTTTGCGAGTAGTTACTTTGCGAGTAGTGGAACGCGCCCGTCTGTCCTCGGATAGTCCTTGCCCACGTCTCAAGCTGCAACATCGCATCTGGATCCACGGCGCGGACGGACTTCAGTTGACCTGGGCTCGCCGCTGCGTCGAGCTGCCGCCCTGCCGCCAGCAGCCCTCGCAGCCCTCGTTCCGGGCACGCAAATGCTGCCCGCCAACATCGCTTCGCTGCTGCCTGTTTCCACTGCCGGTGTCGCTCCAGATGCCCGCAGCTCGGCGCAGCGCCTGAGGTATGTCGCCCTTCCCGAGCTCGAGTATCTCCATGCGGTCGCAACAAGCGCCGTTGCCCAGGGAGGCGACGGGGCGGTTGCAGCCCTCCCCGAAGGACTGCTCGACCCCGCTCGTGGATCCACCCGCTGCCCAGTAGCGAATGATCATATCTGCACTAGCGCTGGCCATCTTCGCAGCTCGCATCCAAGCATCCACAACCACATCGAATTCTCCGCGGCCACGCGCGCCACCAAATGACGCACGGACTCCATCTCCCCCACCAGCTCGTCCGAGGTCGCCTCCGCCTTGAAGGCTTCGATCAAGCGCTCCATCTGCCTGTGGCGCTGGGCGTTGGCTGAGTTCTCGGCGCGCGCGCCCGTGCCCCTGTCATGCTGCGCGACATTGAAGACGCCCCACGCCTGGATCGCCTCGAAGCTGGGGAACTCCGCCCGGAGCGCCTGCACGACTGCCGCGACCCAATTCATCATGCGTTCGAGGCATCTCGTCTGCACAGCTGGGGCCGCGCCGTTTGGACAGTCCAACGCACGTGCGCCAGCGCCTGGAAGCATGATGGGGTGCTTGAGCAGCTTCAGCATGCGCCCAGTGAACGCGCAGTCCGTCTACGCGGCCACGGCTGGGTGGCCGCCGACCCCGAACAGCGTGCGACGAACGCGCTCGCGTTGAAGGGCAGGTCGTCAGCCGGGAACCTCTCGTAGTCTAGGTGCCTCATCAAGTGATAGTGCTCATCTCCAGCGTCTGCAAACATTGCAAGCTGCAGAGTCTTGAACTTCTTTGAGCCCCACTGATCGAACAACGTTGCTAACAGCCTTGGCCTCCGCACTTGAGTTCTGACGTGTCCTGGCCACCTGGACCAAAGTGGCGACGAGAGCTGGAAAATGCAACGCGCATCTGGCCAGGGGCAGCTGGCCGCTCTCGAAACTGAGGCCGACGGCTTCGCCACGGCCCTGAGGTGCGGACCCAAGGAGGAAATATTCTTCTGGAACCAGGCGCTGAACTGTTCCGAGTACTGCATCAGTTTTGTAGGAGACTTGTTATCTTCTGCGACGATCAACGAGCACACCATGAGCCACCGAAAAGAAATAGAGCAAGCGCACCGCTCTGATTATCAGAGCTTTCACCAAGCCATTGCCTGTCGCAGCGCATGCCCTGGCACCAAATTCTGAACCGCAATGCAAGCAGCGAGTCCCGTAGCAGCGAACCGATACAGGAATTACACGCCACTGCAGCTCCATCATCGAGCAACATACCACAACTCCCAATCATAAGGAATACGTCTGCCTTTCGCTGACCAGGCTCAGCCATGATCTGAGCACATCGGCCAAACATACGGATTGAACAACTGCGTGCCATCTTGACTTGCGTCCCTCATCCCCCCCTCCCCCCGTCCTCTTTCTGCTCATCCGAAGCACGGCCCAGAGGAATCGCGCGAGTGCGCCATGGTGGACGCACGCCGAAGCACGACCCAGAGGCCCAGAGGAATAGCCCGAAGCGCCCCAGTGGATACGCGACGAAGCACCCCCAGAGGAATCGCACGAGTGCGTCCCAGCGGCAATACGTTTGCACGACCCAGAAGAATCGCACCGCATCGGGGCCGCGGGGGGATGGGGCGGGAAACGAGCGCCCTGCCACGCATCACTTTCCGGTGTGACGCGCCTCAAGGTGCCGCGGGACGCGGCGGCGGTTTGTCCAAGAAACTGAAACGCCCGTTTCCCGCTTGCGCACCAACAACAACCAGCAGCTCTCTCTGAAGGTCAGCGCCTGGCTGCAGGGCCAAGGGGTGACCACGAAAGACCGCGCGAACAAGAGGGCCAAAAAGACCCGCGCGGGCGGGAGGCCCATCGCCGCCCCCCAGTTGAGCACCTGGCTGAAGCACTGCGACAAGATGAAGTTGTAGGTCGGCGTGACTCGCATTGCTAATGATTGTGTGAAATCCCTTAGACGAGCACCCGCAGTCAGCTGAAGCCCTCCTTTACAGAAGCGGTGGCGGTTTGAATTCCCGCTCGCGCCCGCCTGCGCGCGAAAAATGACAGGTGGGAATAAATAACACAGTTTTTTTCATACCGCGCCCTTCCCCACCCTCCCCTTCCCTCCCCTCTCTCCCCCCTCCCCTCTTTCCCCTCCCCTCCCTCCCTTTCCCTTCCCTCCCCTCTTCCCCTCCCCGCCCTCCCCCCTTCCTCCTTTCCTTCCCCTCCCCTGCCTTCCCCTTCCTCTTTCCCTCCCCCTCCTTCCCTCCACCCTCCCGGGCCACTCTCCCGAGCCACCCTCCCGGGCCACCCTCCCGGGCCACGAGGGCCACCCTCCCAAGCCCCATCCGGGCCCACCCTCCCGGGCCACCGTCCCGGGCCACCCTCCCGGGCGCCACCCTCGGGCCACCCTCACGGGCCCACCCTCCCAGCCCACCCTCCCGGGCCACCCTCCCGGGCCACCCTCTCGGCCCACCCCCTCCCGGCCCACCCCTTCCCGGGCCACCCCTTCCCGGGCCACCCTCCCGGGCCACCCTCCCGGGCCACCCTCCCGGGCCAATCTCCCGGGCCACCCTCCCGGGCCACCCTCCCACCCTTTGAGATCCTCCCGGGCCAATCTCCCGGGCCACCCTCCCGCGGGCCACCCTCCCGGGCTACCCTCCACCCTCCCGGGCCACCCTCCCGAGCCACGCTCCCGGGCCACCCTCCCGGGCCTACCCTCCCGGCCCACCCTCCCGGGCCCACCCTCCTGGGCCCACCCTCCTGGGCCACCCTCCCGGCCCACCCTCCCTGGTGACAGCCACCCTCACGGGCCTACCCTCCAGGGCCCACCGGGCCCACCTCCCGAGCCCCACCCTCCCGAGCGCCACCCGCCCGGGCCATCCTCCCAGGGCCCACCCTCCCGGGCCCCCCACACTCCTGTCCCGAGCCACCCTCCCGGGCCACCCTCCCGGGCCACCCTCCCGGGCCACCCTCCCGGGCCACCCTCCCGTGCCCACCCTCCCGGGCCACCCTCCTGGGCCACACCCTCGGCGACCCTCCAGGCCACCCTCCCGGGCCACCCTCCCGGGCCACCCTCCCGGGCCACCCTCCAGGACCGACCACCCTCCCGTGCCCACCCTATCCCAGGCCACCCTCCCGGGCCACCCTCCCGAGCCACCCTCCCGGGCCACCCTCCCGGGCCACCCTCCCGGGCCCCACCCTCCCGGGCCACCCATTCGGCCCACCCTCTCGGGGCACCCTCCCGGGCGCACCCTCCCGGGCCACCTTCCCGGGCCCACCCTCCGGGCCACCCTCCCGGGCCCACCCTCCCGGGCCACCCTCCCGGGCCCCACCTTCCCGGGCCACCCTCCCGGGCCACCGTCCCGGGCCACCCTCCCGGGCACACCCTCCCGCGCCGCGGGCCGCCCTTCCGGGCCTCCTCCCGGGCCCACCCTCCCGGGCCACCCTCCCGGGCCCGGCCCACCCTCCCGGGCCCACCCTCCCGGGCTCACCCTCCCGGGCCACACTCCCGAGGCCACCCTCCCGAGGCCACCCTCCTGGGCCAACCCTTCTCCCGGGCCATCCTTCCGCGCCACCCTCCCGGGCCACCCTCGACCCACCCTCCTGGGCCACGGCCACCCTCTCACGGGCCACCCTCTCCCGGGCCACCCTCTCCCGGGCCCACCCTCTCCCGGGCCCACCCTCCCGGGCCCACCCTCCCGGGCCACCCTCCCGGGCCACCCTCCCGGGCAACCCTCCCGGGCCACCCTCCCGGGCCACCCTCCCGGGCCCACCCTCCCGGGCCAGCCTCCACAGGGCCCCACCCTCGGAACCCCACCCTCCCGGGCCACCTTCCCGGGCCACCCTCCCGGGCCCCACCCTCGGAGACCCCACCCTCCCGGGCGCCACCCTCCCGGGCGCCACCCTCCTGGGCCCCACCTTCCCGGGCCACCCTCCCGGGCCACCCTCCTGGGCCACCCTCCGGGCTTACCCTCCCGGGCCACCCTCCCGGCACCCACTCTCCCGGGCCCCACCCTCGGGGACCCTCCCAGGCCACCCTCCCGGGCCACCCTCCCGGGCCACCCTCCCGGGCCACTCTCCCGGGCCACCCTCTCGAGCCCACCCTCCCGGGCCACCCTCCCGGGCCCACCCTCCGGGGCCACTCTCCCAGGCACACCCTCCCGGGCACACCCTCCCGGGCCACCCTCCCGGGCCACCCTCCCGGGCCACCGGTCCGGCCCTGGATCTCCCCGGTCCGGACAGCTCGCTGTCCACCACCTCCCATTCCACCTCCTTTTCTTTAGCCTGGCGGCCTCTCGCGCAGCAAGCGGGCGTCGGGTCAGCCGGATCCAAATCGAATCGCGAACGGGATCGTCGCCCGCTCTGCACCGGATGGCAATCGAATCGCTCGGCAACCGAATGGATTCGCGAACCGGATCGTGGCAGGGGGCCTCCAGCATCGAATCGGCATTCGCGGCGAGGCGATTCGCCGAATCGAACCGACCCGGATCGAATCTCGTGCG